CTCCTAAAGGAAGAAATGCATCTTGTTCTTGCCTTGGAGTGTTCAGTTTGTAACCTAGGACTTGCTTGTCCTCAGTGCACAGAAATTAGATTGATCTGATACCATATATATATATTTTAGAAATGGTTTGGAAAATATTTGAACACCTTGTCTTAAAATATTTTATTCATCACGTTAAAATAAAACGTTCCATAATCATTTTTTTTCTTCCAATCTTTTTTTTGGGGGGGGGAAAGGCTTCAAGAAAAAAAACGCAAAAACACCGTTTCTCCCCTGTATTTTTCCGGGCCTTCACATCTCTAGATGAGGAGCAGGGAAGGTCTGGTACCGAATCAAGACGCTCAAGGTACCTGGGGTTAGGAACAGGCAGGCCGATAACAGCGATCAGGTTCCCACAACTGCCACCACCTTCCGGCAGTGATTCTCCGTGTTGCCACCAAGGGGCAGTGGTTCTTTAGGCTTGGAAAGGCTCTCCGTGTAGCCTTGAACAGCAGCCAGCGGGACTGGTGTGTGTTTCTGCGTTTTGGCTTTTGTGCGTGTGTGATACGAACAAACGTGGCGGGTGCTTCAAAGGCAGGAGTGGGGACGGAAAATTAATCCTGGTCAGCGTTTGCCTTTGGGACCTCACAGGGCAGGCGTGACCGAGCCTTGCTCCGATGGAAAGCGGTCCAGTTAAGTTGTACGAAATGCGTTCCGCGCACCCCAAGATCTTCTCGGACGCCCACTCAGACCCTCCCAAGTAGACACGCCGTTTCTAGGGTAGGAGACGGGGCGGACTCTTGACGCACTCAACGGCTTTAATGATCCCGGGACTCGGAAGAACTTGTTAAAATATTTTGCACTCTCTTGTGATTCTGGGTTTGGGGAGCGCTCGTTCCGCACACAGCGGCTGCCACGTTGAACCTAAGTGGGAGATGGGGATGCATCTCCTTAGACCGACATGAGTTGGTGTCAATGCCAGTTTGGTGTAGTGGGTTGGTGTCATAGCCAGTTTGGTGTAGTAGTTAAGTGCTTCCGTTACTCTAGAACCCTCCCTTATACTCTTCACACTTTGTTTTTCTTTCCTAGTTCGTAAATGTTTTACTAGTCTTTGGGTTGACTTTATACTACTCCTCCAATATTAGTTTTTGATTAGTGTTTCCTTTTTCCATAAGGTTATAAGATCTAATTTATCCAGTTCTTTTTTTAGTTCTCAGATTTGGGTCTGCTTTTGTAGATTATACCCCTTCATTTGTTGTTGCAGGAGTGTTCTCAACTCCTGTATTTTCTTTTGTCTCTTCTGGTACCACTCCTTTAAAATGTTTTATTTCTTTCCTTATACAATGTCCTCTAATTACTGCTTTCGCTGCCTCCCACAAGGTGTTGGTAGTTACTGTGTGCCTGTTTTCTTTAAAATATAGTTTAATTTGATTTTCTATATATTCCTTATCTTCTTTTTTTTTGCCATAACTAAGTTATTGTATCTCCAAGGTCTCATGGCCCCTTCTGTCCTCAGGTCCGAGCCGTGGAGTCTTGTGAGCAAAAATTCTACTTTGTGAGCCGCTGACATGAAAGTTGTGAGCGAGCGATTTGGCTGCTGCATGGATTAGTTTGCCCTGGAGCCCCATCCCTTCCTGAGCTAAGACAAAAATGTGTGAGCCGGAGGCTAAACAACTGTGGGCTAGCTCACACTAACTCAGCTTACAGGGAACATGGGTTGGTGTAGTGGTATGTGTTCCAGAGGCCTTCATCAAACTTTCCTGGGAGAAAAGGGTGAGGATGAGTCTGGGAAGTTAGAGAAGTTTAGATGACCGAGAGGGGGACCTGATACGAGTTTATAAAATCTTACATGGCGCGGGGAGAGCTGACCCAGAGAACTTTTTCTCCCCCTCCCAAAATACTAGAACTCAAGGGCATCCAGTGAAGTTGATGGGCAGTAGGTTGAGGACGGGCAAAAGGAAATACCACTTTACACACAGAATGACTAAAGTGTGGAATTCGCTGCCAGGGGATGTAGTGATGGCCACAGCTTGAAAAAGGGATTAGACAGATTCACGGACGGTCAAGATTATCAGTGGCTACTAGCCATGGTGACGGAGAGGAACCTCCACATTCAGAGGCACTAAGTCCCTGAATCCCAGAGCCAGGAGGCAATATATCCGGGGAAGGCCTCAGCCTCTCTGTCCTCTTGTTGGCCATCTGGAGGAACTGGCTGGTCAGTGTGTGAGACAGGATGCTGGACTAGATGGACCCCTGGTCTGACCCAGCAGGGCTCACAGTTTGGTGTTGTGGTTAAGTGCGCGGACTCTAATCTGGGAGAACCGGGTTTGATTGATTCCCCACTCCTCCACTTGCACCTGGCTGGATGACCTTGGACAAGCCTTAGCTCTGACAAGAGCTGTCCTTGAAAAAGAGCCGTTTCTGTCAAGAGCTCTCTCAGCCCCACCTGCTTCACAGGGTGTCTGTTGTGGGGAGGGGAAGGGAAAGGAGTTTGTCAGCCGCTCTGAGACTCCTTTGGGTAGTGAAGGGCGGGGTATAAATCCAATCTCTTCTTCTTCTCTAATCTGGTCTGAGACACCTTTGGGTAGTGAAGGGCGGGGTATAAATCCAATCTCTTCTTCTTCTTCTTCTGATCTCAATTTCTGAAACACGCGTTTGTGTCAGCTTGCAAGGTTGCCATTTAGGGCAGGCGAAGAGTCGAGAGGGACCTCCCCTGTCAACGCCTGACCTGGGCGGAGGGGGACTACGCTCTTAACCCGTAGCCAGGCGCTCCCCCCTCGCTCGGGCCCTCGACCCCAGAAGGGTGACCTCTGATTCTCCCCTCAGGCTTCTTCATCCTTGGCGGGATCTGCGTCTCCTACGGCAGCGCCTCCTACCTCGTCAGCCTCTTCCTCCTCCGCCGCACCATGATGCTGTCCGTCTCCACGGCCCTCCTCAACTGCGCTGCCGTCACCACCGTGGCCCTCTTCTGGCTGTGCGCCATCTCCCTCTACATCGGCCGCCTGGAGGTGGAGATCATTCAGGACGACGGCCCCAGCGACAAGTGCCAGGATAAGAAAAAGGAGGACGGGAAGTCGGACGAGTGAGGGGCGGAACCGGCTGGGGCCAGCGGCCCCCGGATGTGCTTCCACCGCCTGCTGCGGACCGACCCTTCAGCCCTTCCCCGTGGCACGTTCGGGCCCTTTTGCCCGCTGGGCCGAGGGGCGAGGAAGGAAGGCGGGAACCCTCGCAGACGAGACACACAAAGCGCGTCGGCTGCTTCCTATTTATTTTGGGTCTTCCTGACGGGTCTCTGGGAACGGACCGTGGGGAAAGACGGTGGTTCGGAGCGTGCCCGGCTTCCCCACTGGGGGCTTGGCGTTCTTTTCACACCGAGACCTCTGGGACTTCTGGCAAAAGATGCTTTCTGCTAA